AAGGAATAGATACGTTTCCGACATTTAATGCTTTGTGCCTTTCTTCTAGAATGTGCAGCTGTCACTTCTAACAGAAAGGGGAATGGGTGAAGCTGTACAAGAATTCGTGGACAAGGAAGAGAAAGATGCCATAGAGGAATTAGTGAAATACCAGTTGGAAAAAACACAGCGATTTCTTAAAGAACGCCATATTGATGCGATAGAAGACAAAATAGATGAAGAGGTAGGTAACTAATTTGGGAGTGGATAGGTGTATCTCTGCCCTTTGTTTTTGGTGATGATGGTGCCATCCAGATGGTTCCAACTTATAACCAATGACGCTATGTCCAACAGAAGGAAGCACTGCCTGATCCTGCTCCGTCCTCATTATTATGTCTGAGCCCATTGTTGCTGTCGTCGTGTTGATCATCTTATTGAGGGTCTTGGTCTTCTTCTTTTTCACTGACCCTTTACTTTCCTATGCATGATGTCCTTCTCTAGGGGCTGGTCCCTCCTGATCACATTTCCAAAGTACTTGAGATGTAGTCTCACCATTGTAGCATCTTAGGAGCATTCTGTTCTGACTCTACTGCCTCCAAGATAGATTCGCTTCTTCCTCTGGCAGTCCGTGGTCCATAGCTCCAGGTTTCTTTCAGGTAAACCCTGTGACTTCTCTGACTTGTTTAGCTTCTTCATATATAAACTTGGGATAATAAAATGAGGATTAAATTAGAATAGTCTGTAAGTTTTATTCCTTATAGTATCTTCTCTTGAAAATTCCAGAGTACTTTAAAAGAAAGCTTTTGCTAACTTCAGTGTTTTAGTAGGCTTTGGTTGATGTTTTGACTTTAATTTAGTAAATGCGTTCTCTTTTAAGCATAAAAACAGAATCACAGAGGAAAACTTCTATTTTACTATATAGAAATTTTAAATGTTTGCATGAAAGATTGTCAAAAACAAAATTCAAAGATACTGACATTGAGAAAATATTTATAAGAAAAGTGGGCAGATAAAAGGTTAATATGATTTAATACAACATTAAAAAACCCTTATTAATGGTGGTGGTAGTGGTTATGTGCCGTGGAGTCAGATCTGATTCATAGTGACCCTGTACAGGGTTTCTGAGGCTGTAAATCTTTACAGGCGCAGAAAGCCTCATCTTTCTCCCACAGAACAGCTGGTAGTTTTGAACTGCTGACCTGGTTCGCAACCCAATTCGTAAATACTATTGGCCACTACTTGTCTGTCAGTATCTCATACTGTGGTGGCTTGTGAGTTGCCGTGATTCTGAAAGCTATGCCACCAGTATTTTAAATAACCAGCAGGGTACCCTCACCCGTGGTGGACAGGTATCAGATGAGCTTCCAGATAAAGACAGACTAGGAAGAAAGAGTGACGAACTACTTCCGAATCTTAAGTCACTGAAAACCTTATGAACAACACAGAAAAACACTGTCAGAGATAGTGCTCGAAAATGAGCCCCTCAGGCTGGAAGGCACTCAAAATGCTACTGGGGAAGAGCTGCCCCCTCAAAGTAGGGTTGACCACGAATAGAGTAAAGATCCTGGGAGAAAAGCCTGCAGGACCTTCATTTGCTGATGGGGCACAACTCAAAATGAAGAGAAACAGCTGTAAATATCCATTGAAAATCAGAACATGGAATGTATGAAATATGAATCTG